TCTTTCTTTCTTTCTTTCTTTCTTTCTTTCTTTCTTTCTTTCTTTCTTTCTTTCTTTCTTTCTTTCTTTCTTTCTTTCTTTCTTTCTTTCTTCAAGAAATTTAATCTGCCATTCCTTGTACTAAAATCGTGTATCTGCAATATAAAAACATCAACATCATTTTTTTTCTGAACTCTGAGGAGCTTTCATCTGTACAAGCTTGAACAGTTTTTTTTTTCTTTTATAACAACTCAAAGCTTTATTTTTGTTGTTCTTTTTCATTTTGAGTTCCTCAAAGATTTGGCCTTTGCCTCTACAGACGGAAACATCACGCAGTATTAGACATGCTGAGACAAATCTGTTTCATCTCCAGTATTCGTCCTACAATGGATTAGAAAAATAGATAACAATAATACCCCTCTGCAGCAAAAAAATAACAACAAAAAAACCCATTAGGCCAAACATTAATATCTTTTTTTATCCTTTCTAAGCCTGTGATGATTTGGCTAGATCTGCATCTGACAACAGCTCATATTTCTGATTGTTTTTATTTTTTCTTATCATGATCATAATTTTCTTCATGCCTAAATTTGTCTGATGAAGCATGTCTAAACCTTATCTTGTTTTTTTTTTTCTACAAAGTTACAGTCACAGTTTAAAAAATGATCAAAAGAAACTTAATAAGTGCAACATTCTCTTATCTACATCATCACCGCCCCACCTATACACGAGAACACTCGATAAAAATAAAAAGATCAGACGGATGAAGTGAAGAGGATGGAGGAATGAAGGAAAAGGGAAATCTCTTTATTGTTGAGCCTTCAGGCATCAACATACTCAGGCATCGGAGTGTTCCGGGAGGACACGAAACACTAAAACATACGAACCGTCCTCTGAAAGGAAAGGTCTTTGCACAAATGACCAAATCCAAACCAATGGACAGGTTTATCAGTTATATTCTCTGTTTGGTTGAAATACAAGTGTGCAAGTATACCTTCTAGTTAAACAGGAGGAAAATCTGACACAGTTCCTAAAATATAGTTTTTTTTCTCTCTTCTTAAACTGATGGAGAAACAATACGCAGAGAATAATCTGTAGGTTGTTAGTATGATGGATTATCTGCCAGGGGGAGGATCACCGAGAAACGTGCAATTTAACCAAACATACAATTATTTCATGTTCTTTTTTTCTGGTATTTTGTTTTTCCAAAAATTTATGACAAATATTCATCATTTTCATCTTCGTCATCATCTTCATCATCCTCGTCGTCCATACCTGCCTGGTCATTTAGGACGAATGAATCTTCGTCGTCTGTGGTGAAGAGTGAGTCACCGCTGCCGATGTCCCCTGAAGACTCCAGAATTACTCCTAAAACAAAACCAGGAATCAAAGACTTACTTAAAAGATTAAAATGACATAATATGAGGCGGATTCATGACTCATTACTTTTGTATCTTGAAGCTGGAAATTGGCTAAAAGATTTTTTACAAATGATCTAAATGCAATTTATAGTAGCAGAAAGTGATGCTGGGGGTGATACAAATATCATATCCAATTCAATTAAAATCAACACATCTCATCTGAAGGCACTTTACAGTTCACAAGATCATACAGTCATACTGATTCAACTGATTCACTGTTTTCTATCTAAGGAAAACCAGTTGATTGCATCGACTCATTGACTCGAATGCAATCCCTCACACTAAGCATGCTTGTAGCGACAGTAGAAAGGAAAAACTCCCTTTTAACAGGAAGAAATCTCCAGCAGCACCAGGCTCAGTGTGAGCGGCCATCTGCCGAGGCCGACTGGGGTTCAAGGGAGCATTCAGAACCAGAACCTCCTTCTCTCTGGGTCTGTTAAGAACCAGAACGTCTTCCTCTCTGGGTCCATTCAGAACCACCTCCTCATCTCTGGGTCCGTTCAGAAACGGAACCTTTTCCTCTTCAGGTCTGTTTAGAACCAGAATCTCCTTCTTTCTGGGTCAATTCAGAACCACTGCCTCCTCTCTGGGTCAATTCAGAACCAGAACCTCCTCCTTTCTCGGTCCATTCAGATCCAGAATCTCCTCATCTCTGGATCCATTCAGAACCAGAATATCCTTCTTGTTAATTGGCTTCTCTAAATTCTCCTTAGGTGTCAGTTTGTGTGTGAATGGTTGTTTGTCCTGTTTGTCTCTGTGTTGCCCTACGATGGACTGGCGACCTGTCCATGGTGTACCCCGCCTCTCTCCCATAGACAGCTGTAAAAAGGCACTAGCACCCCTTGCGAACCCGCCTGGGATAAGAGTAATGGAAAATGGATGGATGGAATTGAATAGTGGCTCCCCTCTCTAATGAATGAGGGGCAGACAGTCTTCTGATTTCCTGGTTTTACTATACTTGGTACAACTGGAATCCAAGTAAAATAAAAAAAAAACTGAAAATAGTAACAGTTCCACACAACCTTTACTGATGGAAAGCCTATAATGTGAATCTACCCCTCCCAAAACGCGAGTCAGTAAAGTCAGTAGAATGGAAATATAAGTTGTTGGTGAGAATTTCCTTTATATACTAAAATATTTAGATTGACAAGCAGGAACATGTAACTATATAAATTAAGCAGTTTATATACTTAATGATTATTTAAGTAATGTTTATCATGCTTGGAAATAAATGAACATAAAAATGCACAAATGATTATTGTTGTAAAGCAGCATGGTAAAGAAAAGTATGAATCAATACCGTTCGTGTCCATCTTGGAGAATGTAAAGTTGAATACATTTAAGCTAAAATAGGGGTATACGTGTTTTTTAAATACAATTACAAAAATAATATTCCTTTTAAATTTTTTTTTCCAAACAGAAAAACATTCCTTGTGTGACAGAAATACATTTAAATGGATGTCTGCCAGGAATGTGAAAGATTTTGGGCTAAGCTTAGCCTTTCAAAACATAAAAAATATCAAAACATTCAATTCCTCCCTCAATTCAAATCATGCGCAATGTTTTATATGTCTTTCCACAACCTCAGAAACCCGATACTGTGTTTTCTGGTAATTTGCATACCACAGTCTGCAGGACCGTGGGTGCGGGAGCCTGCCACCTCGTTGCCAAAGCGATCCACACACCAGCACTGACCACTGCTGCTGTGACACTGGTGCGGCCTGTAGTAACCCTCCTCATCACAGGAAGGTAGATACTGACCTAGAGATTCAAACAGAAAAACCTATTGAGCAGCAGAAATAGATTTCGGTCAATTTGTCCACCTGAGCATAACATACCAAGTAACTTCTTCCCAGCTTGCTTTTTGCTGATGCTGGAAAGCTCTGCTTTGCACGGCGAATCTGAAAGGAAGAGACAAAGACTTTGGTAACAAGCTGCAGTGCTCCCTTTTGTTTTGATAATAACTTCCCTCGTTCTGCTATCTCTGCTCTTGCAGCGGCAATGAGCAGCCAATTTTAGTTCTTTCATTTTGTTCTTCCAATAGACTGTCTTAAAAATAACTGCTAGATGAGGTTTCTTCTATTTGAGAAGTTAAAAAGGGAAAAATATAGAAATATATGTTCAAGTTCTGAGTGTTGGTTTGTGCTTGTGTGTTTTAACTGAGAACACACTGACCACATTTTAGCTCTGAACATGTGTTTTTTTTTTTCTCCACCTGTATATCTCTGGAAGCCTGTGCACCACTCGGAGCTGGTTATGACTTTGTCGGGATGCGTATCACATGACTTGAAGAAAGCGTCGGAGCACGGCTCGTTCCTGTCCAGATAAAGGCTCTTGATTTCTGACTGGTCAAGCTGGAGGTCAAAGTTGGTGTCAAGTCTGGAGAACATCCACCCCAGAGGGTCCTTACAGATAGGTGATGCCCCGACATCAAACTCTGTCAGGAGGTTCAAAGATGTGCTTAGAAAAGGTTCATACGAGAATGAATGTCATGACTAAATGTGTCGTGACTCACTGTTCTTCTCCGGTTTTTGGATCTTGACTCTCTTGTGGTTTCCGTTCTCGTGCAGCACTCTGAACCAGTCTCTTAGGCGACTCACCACCTCCTTCAGATCTGATTCACTGCAGGCTGTGAGGTGATATTGATTTCAACTTTAGTTTCATTCTGTGAGTCAGAACTGGAACAGCTGCCTATAAATTCATTAATCTTAGAAACACTTTATGTAACCTTATCTTTTAACAAAACATCTGTACCTTTTTTCTCAGCAGAACTCTGCTCAGGTAGAGAGGGACAAGGACACATGCCAGGACACTTGACAGTAATTTTTTTCCCCGTGATGCATGCCTGGTAGTCAAGTTTACACTGATTGGAGGGGAAAGAGAGACAGAGGCGCACCAGAATGTGTTAAAGGAAGTTAACAAATACTAACAGTTAGTTTCATTTAACTTGGCTTCATCTACGTTTGACAGCGACAATGCAAAAAAAAACAGAATTACAAAACGAAGCAAGTCACTTAAATCCTGCACATAAAGTTTATAATTAAAGCTCATTTTCAATTTCAATTCAATTCATTAATGTCCCTGCTTGGGCTTTTAGGTACAATAGAATTAACATACACCACTTCAAATGAAAAAAATGAAAATATGATCAAAATGTAGAACATACATTCACCTTTTTTGGAATTACTATGACCTGGATGACTGAGAATCTTCACCAGCAAGAATTTCATCATTTTTGTAAATCCATCTTAAAGCTGCAGCCTGTTAAGGTGACTTAGCAGGTAGATGGATAACTGCATCATCTACATAGGGCTGACAATGGACACAAAGAAAGGACTAAAAGACAAGGGGCCAAGTATAGAGCCTTGTTGGATGCCCATATTAATGTTAATGAGAGTGGAGATATGTCCTGATCAACTTAAACACTCTGTGCTCTATGCTGGATAGACTGTGCCCTTATATGATAAATTAAAATGTATTCTTTTTGTTAAAAGCAAACTATGGTTAATTGTACTGAATGCCTTGTTAAGGTCAATAAGTACAACTCCTGCCACTTTCATTTTATAGTTTCAATTTGCTATTTCAGTTGAACAGCCTGGTCTAAACCCAAACTGCTGTGGGTGACCACTTATAAGCTTTCCAGCTTATAGGTGGTCAATCCGCTGTACCGTAACAACTTTTAATATTTTTTGATAAAACTGGTAAGATTGATATTGGGTGGCAATGGATAATTATAGATTTTTTTCCAAGCAGTCAGAAATTTGCACTTTTTTATGGAAAGATTAACAAGATGTGTCAATGGCTTGACCCGAACATCTTAATATGTTTTAAGAAAACAACCATTCATTCTAAAAATGTGATTAAATTTTGAATTTGAAAGTTTATTAATTATTTCTACAAAATTTTGTACCTGGCACTAGTGGCACTATTGGTTAAACTATTGCAATTTATGCTGGTGAAGATTCTCAGTCATCCAGGTCATAGTCATTCCAAAAAAAAAAAAAGTAAAAAAAAACCAACGGAACTTGGTTCCAAAGTTGAAAAAGGTTTGCCTCCCAACCAAGAAACCTTTTCAAAAAAAAAAATTAAAAGCTTCCTGGACTATGTATTATTAGCAAACAATTATTTAGTTTTTAAGAATGTGTTCAAAATCAAGATTTAAAGATGCTCACTATTCAATCAGCTTGAGCAATTTCACAAAGAAGGACAAGTGAAATAACTCAGCTCTCCCTATCTAAATGTCATAGACTTATATGTGCATAAATTGTAGAGCACAGATTTGCGGGGATGAGGATCACTAAACTGCTTCGAAGGAGGCTCAATTGCAACAAATAAGAGATACAAAATGCTTTCTTTGAGACCTAAACAGCAGCAATGCACACAAAAAAAACCCCAAAGAGTGTTGACACGTGAAGGTACCTTAGTGGAGTAGGTGTGGCCATCACTGCCACAAACAGGCGAGGGGTGAACCACAGGACACGGCTTGCACTTCGACCCGGCACTTGGGTGCAAATTGGCACCTTCAAAACTGGAGGTGACATCCAAAATAATGATGAAAAAAACAAAACAAAAAAAACCACATCTGAACAATTTCATATTGCACGCTGTCAGCATTGATCTGCAATGTAAGGTGATGCTTTGGGCAACAATTGAAAGGTAAGAAAAAAAATTAAGATCTGTGTATGATTCCCATTTATTATTATTATTATGATGATGATGATTGAATTGCTCTCCAAATGTTGCTCCAAATTGTGTTTCCTGACAAGAATGGGAAATGAGGTCAGTGTGGTGTTACTGTCCTCTGTCCAGTCTGAGTTGCAACAGACTCAAACACAAACAAAGCCCATTCATATCACTTGGCAGCACTTTATGTCCACTGAAAGTTAGTGCCAGCGCCTTGGTAACTGGACCAAGCTGTAATGTCACACAACAGTCACAAGAGCGCTTTGGCAAAAGGAAAACCAGCTGGATATCCCCAGCCCAGCCTAGAAAGAGATGAACGCTTTACTGACATGCTTGTTCCGTATAGGTTTAAATTTAGATTTGCAGCAAATGGTGAAAAGAAGAGGTCCGAAACTCAACTAACATGCACATTGGCTTGGTCATAAAACAAACATGATATAATAATATATAAATAATAAAAAACAAACAGTGTTGTGAAAAAAGTCTCTGCCCCCTTTAAAGATTAATTTTTTTACATTCTGAAATATTTAAAATAATCCAAAAATATACAGTTTACACATTCCAAGCAAAAAACCTTAGTGGGAAAATTATTATTCTTTTTTTATTAATTTTTTTATTTATTAAGGAAAAAATATCCTATCCAACTTTGCCCTATTTGTGCATTTAATTGGTAGTTGATTTTATGTAAGTAATCAGGGAAATGTATTTTTCTACAAATCAAGTCTGAAAACATCATCTATTTAGGATGGCATTTAATACATTTTACATCAATTTTTCAGTTTATTATGTGTTTTATATTGTCGCCATTTTATTCCTTGTGTTTTTTGTGATTTTATTTTATTTTATTTACTGTAAAGTATTTTGCTTAACTCAGATTTATTGTAAAAAGCTGCACAAATAAATGTGTAATTACTATTAAACATGGTGGTGGTAGTTTAATGATTTTGAAAATGTGTTGTTATTTATTCAATCATATTTTCTGCCAAACTCTGTTGAACCAGTAAGGCCGGTAGCGCCACGGTCACATTTATCACAATCGAGGATCAAGGTCTATGAGGAAAAAAACACAATAGTATCTGAAATGGTTTAACTTGTACTATGTGTCACATGTGTGTGGTCAGGAGTTATGGTGGTGTTTTATGTGGTGCTGATGGGCCTGACGAGGTTCGGACTGGTAAGCTGTGATAACGGGCATTTGCACGGTAGGCCGCTCCTAATTCCAGCGTGCGAGGGCCATCCATCCGTAAATCATACCAGCTCCATCACTTACTCTCTGGCCGAAGTACCTACCTGAGACAGTAAATAACTCAAGGAACTCAAGTAGTAATACAATGTTAACTACTTAGATGATGCATGCAGTATATATAGCCCTTGCTGGTCATGCATATCCTTGTGACGGTTAGCATATGGTGTCATTTTCAATTTTTTGAAACTTTAAAATCCTTGCAACAAACTAAATTATAATAAAACTAAAATGCTTTCTATAAACCAAACAATGTTCCTCTTATATTTGGTTAATTTATGTTTGAATATTTTGCAAAAATATGTTGCGGTGCATGATGTGGTTTTGCATCTGTCTACATTATTCCATTTCATTGCCCACATCCCACCTAGGCTAGCAGTGAATGCTGACACACCGCTGAGCTTTCATGTATTCATTCTTGAAGAACTGCCTGTCTGCCTCTATATTGTATTGTTTTTATGTTGGTCTTTTTACAACACTCGGGCTTACGTTGTAGACCTACTGTAGTATGTGTAAGTGGGTGTCTGGCTGACTTTGTGCAAGTGTGGACGTTACGCAGCAACAGCCACTGTTGTGTCCGTGTTAATAACCAAAGCCAGTAAAACCGCATTATGGAAGGCTTGCTGATGGTTGGCGCTTGATGCTTGAAAATAGATTGGTTAATCCACACGTGTTCGTATAGTGTGGGCCGGTGTAGAAAATCGTTCCCAGTACGAGCCTGGGCCTGATCACTTTCACATGTGTTCCTTGGTCCATGTTTTCTGCTCTCTACAAAAGAACCATGTGCAGCAGAAAGAAATAGCTAAAACAGAGCAAAGATCCTCTTCTGAGAAGGTCAAGAATCTGTACTGTCATTATGAGACCATTGTGACAATTCGTTTGGACATCTGTCTCAGATTGCAACATTGAAACACAGACAGAAATTAAAACACAAAGAACAAAATAAAGATCCTGCCAGGCACCTTTAAAGTATAGAATATAAACTTCCCAATGACATAAAACAAAAAACATGAAAATATTACATATTAAGCATCCTTGAAATGAATAAAATAATATTTTTTTGAAAACTGAAACGTGTGTTTGATAAATGTTTGTGTGTACCTGTGGACGGCTGTGAGATGGCCATTCTAAAGACTGAACCTATATCCAAATCAGATTCTGTCACATGACCTTAAATAGGGTGTGGTTGCAAACCTTACTAAATGAAAACATTAAGCAGTCTGGAGTGGATCACAACTCATCTACAGTAGCTAAAAAGATTTATTGTTGGTAATTACCAATTTTTTATGACAGTTTTTGCAGACAAATAGCAAAATAATTTATTTACTTAGTGAGTGAAGACAAATACATTTAGAATCTGTTTGGTTGGGATAGCTTTTTTTTTTTACTTTATTAAATAAAATTATGATTTGAAAAAGCAGTTTTGCTATCTAATTATATTAGTCTGATATTTAAATGTATGTTTTTATTTTACTGATTTGTAACATTCAAATGTGACATAAAACTACAGAATAAATATTTAAGAGGGAAAATCATTAAACACTAAGAGATCATCAGAAACCTACACCGTTTTTGTGTCTTTGTTGCTTACCTAACTCTCCTCTGGCTGACACAAGAGGCAGTCTTGTAATCCTCAGCCACACACACCTTGTGGCGACTGCATTTGATCTTCAGACAGGGGTCTTTGGCTGGATCGAGGGCTACAAACACAGAACAAAGACATATATTACCACAACACTGAACGGCACAATTATGCGTGCACGCTACAACAAAGTGGCACCTTAGAGTTTCCTAGACAGCAGCTAACAAAAGCCTGCAAGGGTAAACAGTGAAGAAAAGAAAGAAAATCCTCCATGGATACACTCCCTTTAGTTAATTCAAATTAGCATAAAGGCCTCTTGATTAAAATATGTGCTTTCTTTCATTTCTAAATGATGTAAGGGATGTTTGTGTTTATTTTCTGCTGTTGTTACTAGCTGTATCTGCTTCACTCAACTAAATACAGTAATACTGTTAAGTATACTTAAGGCTAAAAACAGATGGAACTAGTTTTAGAGTCTACTTCTGATCTGACATCACACAGGAGAGTCTGATCCAATGCCCTTTGAACAGGTGACTGCATTAGTTAGGTATAGATATATATTTACATCTTATTTACTGGGGGGTGGGGTTGATGTCAGGAGATAGTTTCTGATCCCATGTCATCTTTAAGCAACACAACTAAGATCCCAAGCCAATGGCTGTTGTCCGAACAGTTTGCGAATGACCTCTACTAGAAAGAACCTTACTGTAATCTCTGAGCAGCTTTGGCAGATTATCCTGCCTCCATCCTCCAATGCACTATCTAATGCTATTGTTTCTCTAACTGTGTGTGTGGGTGTGTGTGTATCTGTGTGCTTGAGGATACACTGATAAGTGAGAGGATATGTTGATGTCCTGGTGTGCCTAGATGAGCGCAGGAGATTACTACTGTCTGTAATACAAATAGAAATGAGATGATCAAAGAATAGAAAATCCTCCTGGTTTTAGCTGCTTGGTGTCATTAAACGAAAAGAGAAAAGTTTATAGAGAAGGGGCGTTCTGATTCGATCCCAGCTATCAGCTCAGGATGAATGTACACTGCAAAAAATGCATATCTAAATTATTTTTTTCTTAAAATGGGTGAATTTTGTCTTGAATTGGGAAGGTAAGTGAGACACTTTGCCAATGGAACAAGACATTTTACATTCAAAATTAGAAAAAAACAATGCAATGGCCCAACTCAAAGGCAAGGTAATTAATTAACCTAATTTAAAAAGAAAAATACTAATTCCATTGGCAAAACATCTTATTTACAGACTCAAATTAAGGGTAAATACACTTTTGTTAAGACATTTTTTACTTATTTCCAGATCGTTTTTTCAGTGTAACCTCCAATATCTGTAGATGCTCTTTCACTTTGTTGTTTTGTTTTGTTGTGCCTCCAAAACTTTAAGCAGCTAAATCCACAGATAAATGAAAAAAGGACAACTTATTTTCATATTTGCTATTAAATCAACAAATATGAGTTTTACCTAATAACCTGATGGTTTTAATCCCTATTAATGATATTCACAGTAAAAATGAGACTGTTTTAGCTGCTGCTTCCTTTGTAATATGCTTGTAAAAATGGGGATGGGATTTAAGAGTACAACAAACTTTGCCTAACTCTTTTTATGGTGTGCCTCTATCATTTACTGTATAATCTTTGTTTAACAAAGATGACATTTCTTTTCAAATCCTGCAAATTAAACAACACCTATGATCCGAATCATTTTAGTAAAAACTAAGAATGGATAGAAGTAGGTGATCTTATCTGAAAGCATATTCTTTATTTCATTTTTTTTTTTTTTTTAACTCAACTAAAACCCTCCAGGCTCTGCTCTATCTCGTTTCCACCCACCTTGATCGAAGGGCTTGGATGGAGTCCATGTTCCAGGCTCCTAAAACACAGTTAATCAATAAACATATTCAGCAAAAAGAAGTTTGAAATGTATTCCAAGAAAGTATTACTGTACACTACAAACACAAAAATATATTTCAATACCATAAATAATAATAATAATAATAATAATAATAATAATAATACAAACCTCAACTTCCTTTGATAGAAAGCATTACAAAGACAGAGAAGCAGGAATTAATTTTAAAACACAAATGTTCTATCTGACTATGTAGGAATCAAAATGCTTGTGTAATAATTTTACGGACAAAAAGAGCTGGTTTCAACATTTAAGTCTTCAGTCTTTGGCTGTTTTATATTAACATCTAAGATTATAAAGGATGAGACAATGTCATTGGATATTACTGCCAATGACCTTTGGGGGAGATAATGACCTCATCTGTTATATCATTAATCAACTGGGGAAAACTAATTCAAGTTATTAATGTAAGTAGTGAGCTCTGTGACATACCCAGGCTTTGGGGATGTATGAAAATGTGTCTCATCATAGAAAACGTGATTCTATACACAAAGACGAAAGCTGTACTAAGAAAAGGATTTGATTAGGGACCCTGAGCAGAGATGGGTTGAGTAGAACATTTCCTTTAGTCCTTTCTGCCCCTGAAACAAACCTCGCTATATTCTACCATTACCTCTCCAACATTGATTGCCTTATTTTCTCTTTGATATTAAAATTAGGACATGCAATACAATAAATAATACACCGCAGCCATCACTGCACTGCTGCTTACATCGAAATCAATACACAGCTAAATACAAACAGATGGAACAACAACATCTTACAGGCTGCAACTGACAACAGATTCTCATTACTCTCTGAGGGGAAGGTGTAGATATTTTTCTAACAGAAAGCTAAACTGGGGCTCACAAGTAGGAGAAGTGAAAGTGTGGTGCGAGCTGCCCTGCTGGCAGGTGCACTGGATTTATTTTGCCTTGTTTTATTTGTAGCTTGGTGCTCCTGTGGGTTTCAGAGTTTCTGTGTCAGATACTTCCGCTGATAAACTTGTTGTTAGGCTTCTTTCTGAACACTTCATCCTCTCCCAGCAGCAGTCTGCGATAGAGCAGATATAAACCGGGGGATGTCTCAGGAGCCATCCGGTGTTTCACTAGATGTTGTTTGTACCCTTACCCGGTACAGCCATACATTATGTTAGGTTATAGGTTTGTTTAGTGTCCAGTCCAAAAGGCTGACCTTGCACACTGCAAACATAAAAGCTGGAAAGCAGATTGAAATCTGGAGTGATCGGCTGGAGGCAACTTTTTGGGTCCTTTAGAAACAGCACTCTGTGGTTAAAAGCCTTAAACAAAGAGAGGGATAAGAACAGAGCCAGAAGTGCTCTGACTTTCACAAGATAGAGACCTAAGATCCCACTGATATATGGTCAAATTCAGAGGTTATTAGCATTGTTCTTTAAAAAAAAAAAACAGTAGATTTCTAAAGTGTAAACAATGATTTCAAATTGCTAGACTTTTGTGAACTAAAAAAATAGATAACATTCAATTAAGCCTTCTTGACTTGATACTACACATCAATTAAAGGGAATTGGATAAACCTGAAATACAATTAGCCATTTTAGTCATATTCCCAGGGCATATGTTCATTTGCATCTCTCAGCTTAAGCCAGAGATGTCAGAAAGGCTGCAAAGGATAAGAACTGTCACTGTATAAAGATACATTCCATTGCATGTGTATGTATAAAATGGGCCCTGCAAGGTCAAAGTAAAACTCCTCATCTCACATGAAAATAAAAGAAATATAAGAAGAGTCCTCTAGTCAAATGTTTTCTTTGAGAATCTGCACTGCTTTAGGATTTTTTATTAGGTGAAACATATGTGTAACTAGATACTTCCCAGAAATTTGCCCTGAGGTGGTGACACCGTTTAGTAAACTGTGAATTTAACCTCAAAGTCTAAATGTGGAACGTGAAGGTTTGCTGGCTTTTAAATAAAGGGATGAACCAAAGAGAAGCCCAGCAGGTGCAGGCTTATGATTCAAATGTAAAAGGAGATTACCAAAGAGTGAGCTTTGAGTTGTTTAGCCCAGTGAGTTCAGATGACTCACTATCAGGACGTCCTCTCTCTCTTTAGCTGCCTGCGTTGTGTGTCCTCTGCCACATGGCTATGCTTTTCTTGTTCTCCTCACCGCTCTGCTTTTTTCTGTGTTCATCATTCAAAATCATGAATGCATTCATACATGCTTACACATAGTTTTCTTTAGGAAGATCTGTGCACCTAGCGTTTATTGTAGCCCTCAGCTTTATTTTGTAGAAATAAGTGATTAAAGAAAGCATAACGTTTCAATTCCAAACACAGCAATTCTTTTCTCACATTGGATGCAGTCTTTGCTACTTATTAGGGCTGAATGATCTTGCCAAAAATAAAAATTGGGATATTTTAAATGAATATTGCAATTTCGATTTTTTTCTTGGCACTAACTACAAGCATGTAAATGTTTCACTCCAAGGTTTCAGTCTTTTTATGAAATCTTAATTGTCCATAGTCTATTGTTGCATGACTCTATTGATTAATTGATGGACTTTATTGATCTCACAGTAGAGAAATGTACTTGTTGCATAAGCTCAAATGGTCAAAAAGAGAAGAAGAAGGTGCCAAAGGAAGAAAAATATGCATGGCATATACACAGTATATACAACGCATCAACATATGACGGCTTTTTTTTAATAGCAGGATTATTACACAGGGTTATTGCACAGGGTGTTTACATGGGTATTTATATAGATGGATATTTATATACAGTTATTGCACTGAGTGTCAAATGTAAAGAAACAGGTTATTGCACAGTTATTAAATAGTTATTTTATATTATAATTTGCACATGTTATTGCCATTGTAGTGTCACATTGTATAATTTTGTGGCAGCAGGGATGAATGACCTGCGGTAGGGCTCCTTTTTACAAACAGGGTTTTAAAAGTCTTTCTTACTGTTACCTTTGTGTAAAAAAGTGCTAAATGCTCCTTGCATTGACAAATCTGCATACTAGTTGGAACTCTCTCTTCCCGTATGCATTTTGCAAACCAACTTTAAGCATATTACTTAATTTTGACGGGCTGAGTTGTCAAATGTAATGTGAAAATTGAGTGACTCTGACATTTAAAAAATGTTTAATTTTTTATATTGCGATTATATTACAAATGCAATTAATTGCCAAGTCCTACTACTTATATAAATAAGTGAGAGCCACTCGCATCAGGGGGCTACAAAATGTATCTTTAATGTTGTTTGTGATGAAACTCTCACTCAGCTAAGATTAATATTGGTAGACTGAAATTTGAAAAACTTGACTCCAAAAACTGCCTAGTAGATTGGCTAAAGTTATCTATATAATCTAAGTTACAGCATGTAATGAGCTCGCTTTGTAATTTTTGACTACTTACTTAGACAAGTGATTCCCAACCAGGGTGCATGTACCCCTAGTGGTCTGTGAGTGCACTGCAAGGGGTACATGAAAATATTTAATTTCTTAGAAAGTAAAATAAAATAAGGCTTTTGTTTTTTGAGGACCCAATTTAAAAATTAAACAAGCTTTCATCAACCAAAACGTAAGCTACTAACTTCAAGGCAAAATATTTAAGTTTATTTGACATGGAAAATTTAATCAAATTAAAAGTTTAGGTAAAACAGTCTTTATTTCAGTTATGGTACGTTCCACTTTTGGAAAATCACCAATACTTTTGACTGAGAGGGGAACTCATGGTAAGACAAAATTCCAAAGGTTTACTCAACTCAAAACAGGTTGGGAGACACTGTTTTAGACCATTATTTTATCAGAGTGTCTCCCTAATGAGCAGGAGCTTAGCAGTGAAAAACTATATTTCTTCTTTCATTCCCACATGGTTGATCTATCGAACCCTCCATCCATCACATTATTTCCCCTGCTTGCTGTCCACCTATGTAATAAAAACACAAAGAAAATGTTGGTTCTATCGTAGTTGTGCACAGTGAGACAGAATAATGAGAATATTGCATTACAGAGGCCAGACCCTCCTCAGCTGTGAATGCATCAAAAAGACAAGGGAAGTGCTTGCGGTCTGATTCCCTAATGGTATTAGTGGACACACCGCAACAGAACAGCGCAAACACAAGGGCATAACAGAACAAACAAATCTGCACAAAGACACTTATATATGGTTCCATAAACAAACCACAGCAACCAATCAAAGTGCAGGAATCTGACAGAATTAGTAGAACATTAAATACAAGAGAAAGCAAATTCAATAATGATCTTGCTCTTGGAGTTTCTTATACTGAGATCTGTTGTGAAAGACTCATAAAACATAATCTTACAGATCAGCAGACGAGATATTTTACACATAGACATCTGAAAAGTGTAATTTGGATCTAAATTCAACTACCAGGAAACAATCGGGTAAGTCAGCATCCAACTGTAATTATTGATGAAAGTCTTCAATTAGCTTTATGCATCCAGACAATTCAATTTCAACCTAATGTTCTTTGTTAAACTGGTTGAATGGGGAGCATCTATGAGAATCTATGTTTCACATCATATATCCACAATAATTCTAAAACTATGAGACAGACCATTACGTTTCACTTTATGCTTTCGCATACAAGGCAATCAGCCAATCGCAGGCCATGTGAGCATTAGGATCATTAAGCCAGGATTACAAAAGAGGCGTGTCTTACAACTCTCCTTATCCTGTAGAGAATTTCCCCTCTGGGATTTCCCCAGAGCTTATTTAGTGCTATAAATACAAAGTTGTAAAGTACTAACTTAAACATGTTTCGGTACCTTCATGAGATTCTGCCAATCACTATTTTAAAATCAGAAATAGACTAAAGGGTAATAGGATTCCCCCCTAGGATCAGATCCCAAACTGTCTGCTTTTTAGTACATCCCACTCACACTGGTCATTGTGGTGATGGGTTATTTCTATATTCCGTGGTGGAGTAGTGGTATAATGTTGGGGGATTAACCTTAGCATTTGTGAGGCTTTATAATCACTGGTGGATCACAGAGCAAAATATATCTAAAATAGGTTGTAGCTTCTGTTTTTGCCTTGAATCAAGAGAAAACTGTCATGATGTTGTTGTGAATGACTGGCGTAATTACTCATCTCATTCACCTGTCTAATTCCGCCCAGTTTCTCGCTACCGTT